CACCCTAGTCGGACTCTGCACTCTGCAGGGAAGGAAGGCATTTTCTGATCGCCCCAAAGGACGATCCGTCTCTGCCCATGGCCCACGTTGTCTGGTGCATGAAACCGTCCGCGTGCTCTGCGGGTCCAGAATGACAGGCCGAATTTCTTCACACCCCTGGAGACTCTCTCTCTGACTCTCTGTTTTCTTGCCCTTTTTTTTTTTTTTTTTTCTTTTTTTTGCCCTTGTTCCCCTCCCCTCCCATACAATCTTCCCGCCTTACTTGACTCTGTTCCTTGGTGTACACTCTACCCTCGTTTCCTCCCCCTTTCCACCGTTCTCTTCAGGCTTCTGGTTCTCCGTTTGATACGCCGCAAATACTACCTTACAACTAGCATCTGTGATTGCCTGTAAGACTGGGAAAGCTACCTTCAGAGGTGGTAGTTAGTAGTTAGTGGTGGCTGTTACTCAGCCTACGTACTAAATTACTTGATCAACTCATCAAAAAAACCCCGCCCTTTTTTTTTTTTTTTTTTTTTCCATCTTCCCCCTTCTTGTTGAGTTTATTTGATTAATATTCTATTTTATTTTTCATTTTTCATTTTTTTATTTTTCAAAAAAGAATTCCAATTTCCCTTATCCATAACACCCACATCCTCCACATCTACCCTTCCTTTTTGATTTTATTTTATTTTAATTTTATTTTATCTTTTTTTTTAAACCCTCTTCCCATTCTTCCTTTTTTTACTTTTCTTTTTTTTTCTTTTTCTTTTTTTTTTTTTTTTATTATACATACAAACTTACATACTTACAAACCCCCCTCTTGCTCTCCCACTCTCCGGTTCGCACTATTCAATGCCAACCATATCCTCTACTTCCATCGACCAAGGATCTCCTCCCTCTTCTCACCTTCACTATCCCTATCACCACCATCGATCTCCCCTTCCTCCAACAACCACTGCACCTGCACCGGTCTCTAACCCCCCGGTCGACTCTCGTCACCCTCCTTCCGCAACCCCCGCTGTTGTCGTTCCCTCGTCCACTCATCCAGCCATTACAAGCGCCGCTCCTTCGTTCACCCCCAGCACTTCCGGTTTCACTGGATCTGTAATTGGCTCGATTTCACGCCGCAGTCGCCGCTCTTTTGCTGCTCTAGCTCGAGAAAAGACCTCCAGCGCCATCGCAAACCTTTCGTCAATTGGAGGCACCACCGCTTATCCCCTTCGCTCGTCAGCCTCCTCCGGCAGCTTGTCCAAGCACTCGCACTCGCGCAAGCCCTCCCAGGTCAGCATCAGCGAAGTCCCAGGCATCTCTGCCTTGACACCGCCACCTTCCGACGGTAGCGCTGGTAGTGACCATTCGAGTCCGGCGCCAATTGAACCGTTAACGAACCCCTTTACCGCTGCCGAACATTTGGAGAGGCGTCGCCAGACTCTTTCGCACGTCCCATCCTCAGTGCCACAGCTGTCGCAAGCCGGGCCTGCTGTACCCCCGTCCAAAATGCATCAAACCTCTTCGAGGCTGTTGCGTATGACCGAAGATGATCGTCCTTTTACGAAGGTAAGCTCATCGCATCAAAAAGAAATTGCGGAATACCAAATCTATTGCCCTCTTTTTCCCCTTCCATCTTACCGACGACCGAAAGGTTTACTGTTACTAACCTCTCGGTCACATTTGTAGGATTTCATGGATCTCTTTTCGACCCTTATGGTTAGCTTGAAGTTGGATTCGCATCGCGTACGATTTACGAAATATGACCATTCGTTCACGTCAGAAGAAGCCATCAACAACCTCGGATCCCTTAAATTTTCCCAGTCCAACCGGATGCCGGACCCTAAGGACCCCTCCCGGATCGTTACCACTACAACCACGACCACTTTCTCCATGGCCAAGGAAATGGCACGTTCGGTGTGCCAACGCTTCGTCGATGCTCGCTTCATCGAGTCTGTAGATGGAAAGGCAGCCCATATTTTCCCGCTCAAGGGCGCATTGTATCAGCTTACCCCCAAGGGTATCAACATCCTGCAAAGGTTCTGCCAGAGAAATGGAATTACTGCTCGCCATGTGATCGATGTGTTGGAATCGCCCCGGAATACTATGCAGCTGGTCAACCTGGAACGTGATTCCGATACTGACAAGCTGTCGCACGATCGGGCCACCATTGAAGTTATTTTCCGTCGATTCGCGGGCCAGGATGGACCTAATGTGAAAAGCAGCATTTCCACCTCCGATTCCGATTCGCTAAGTGATTACTCTAATGGATTAGTCGGTGTCAAAATGGCCAAGGAGCGCAAGGTCAATGAAAAGATCATGCTGAACACATTCACCGGAAAGGCTGCTGTTGACTGGTTGATGGACTGCTCGACTACGATAGAGCGCCGTGAAACGGTTCTTATCGCAGAGCTCTTCGTCAAGTATGGATTGATCACGATGCTTCAGGAGGACCGCATGGTTCCCTTACCGGACAACTCGATCGTCGGTTTCCAGCCCTCGAAGAATGCGATCTACGGAATTACAGATCACGGACAGCGTGTTTGTGGGTGGCTCGCACGGGACAAGGCTCGCGATACTACGACCTACGATAACCGGGGCATCCCGAGAGATTCAAACAACGCTCGCCTGAACCACATCCTTCGGGACCCTGCTCTGCGGTTGCTCTTCCGGGAGTTCTTGCGCTTTTCGCTATGCGAAGAAAACCTGTCGTTCTACCTCGACGTCTCCGAATTCACCGCCACATACCACAAGGCCGAGAAGGTCGGCACGTTCAAGAAGTCCGACGCTGTTCGCGAGACGCTTGCTGCCGCTTACGGTAAGACTTGATTCGCCTCCCTGATTTTTGTGTTTGCTTTTGAACCGAATACTAATGATCTGGCGATAGGTCTTTACAACGCTTTCTTGGCACCTGGATCGCCTTGCGAACTCAACATTGACCATGCTCTGCGCAACAGCTTAGCCAGCCGTATGACTAAAGCAGTTGGTGACGACGAATCAATGTTCAAGAGTCTTCAGGAGGTGGTGCATCTGTTCGAGATGGCGCAGACCTCTGTCTTCAAGCTTATGTCAAGTGTAAGTAATCTCGCCGACGATTTACTGTTCGTCCCTGTGTTCTAACATTCCACAGGATTCCGTACCGAAGTTTTTGCGTGATCCCAAGTACGCCGTCGTTCTCCAGGAACACGAAGTCGATTTGATTGGCGCCACGAGATCTTATTCCCCTACCCCCGCCCCGATTCCAGAGCGCTCCATGAGCCGCTCGGCACGATCGTGACGTTAGCCAGACCGGGTGTATCTCCGGGAAATTTCTCAACTGTACAACCGTCGCCTATATACCACAACTTTGTTTCTTTTCACTTCCAGGATTTGGGTGACGTGGACTATGCTTCATGGTGTGACAATCACACTTCATGGGGGTTGGCTGCGCTGATCTCGCTGGATTTGGCATTACACAACCGTCCGCGAACAACTCCCATCGTTACTTGATCCCGACAATCCTTCCGAGAGTGTATCGGCAACTGCGCGACCAAAAACTTGCCGATGTGATTCTGATCCGACAATTCGGTGTTGTTTTTCCATTTTCATGATCGCCAATACGTTTGCCACGAACGCCGTTCCCGGATTCGTCAGTTACGTTTCTTCTTCGGCACTTGATACACCCGGGCGTCGCACGGAAGCCGGCGGCTTGTTACCCTTATTTTTCTTTTGTAATCAGGTTATCATGACAGATGAAAGGTGTTACGATCTATGGATCATGCGATAGAGATGGCCCATACTTGTGGATTTTATTCCCCCCTTTTTCCTTTTTATTTCCTTTCATTTCCTTTGTGAATCTTTCGACGAAATCGGCGAGAGAAGGCTGAGAGTCACGCAAATTTGCCAGCATTAGAGAGGCGTTTTCTTTTACTTTTTCTTTCCTCATCTCCCCCTCAATTCTTTTTGCATACGTGCATGATTCTAAAGACCCCTTTCTTTTTTCCTTGGTTTCTGGTCCCCATGCATTTCTGTCTACCACGCTTCAAGAGTTCATGTATATGCCGTCATACGCCACTGCATTGAGCAATTTTTTTTTTTCACTTCTCACCTTTCCTACTATCTCCTTTTACATAATCCGATTGGTTTCATTGCATTTCCAGGATTTTCAGCGAATGATTCATTCGTCAATTACTCTTTGATTTTTTCTTTCCCATTTTTTGTTCAATTTCCTTTGTCATTGATATACATCCTCGGGTGATCATCGAGCTTGCATTGCATCCCGTCTGACACAAGGCAGAGAGACAGACAAGAACAAAGATTATAAATTTTTCAGAGAATCCATGAACCAGTCCATTTTAAACATCGTAGATCTTAGCTAAGACCTCGACTTTGTTATTCATGTGTATGCTGTATGCATGGATGACATTATGCCAGATAGTAAGTAAGATTAGGTAGTTCGAGTGGTGATTCCGATTCCTTCACGATGACAAAACAGAGACCGAAAACACATGGCGTCCACGTTGCTTGTTGCTTGGCACGAGGCCACATCATGCCTGTGGTTCTTTGGCTTATGCATGGTACAAAGTACCGTGCTTCGGGGTTTGTTCACTTGGCGGTAGGTCTTACGTATGTATTTATGTATGTACAGCATGATTAGCACTGCATAATTGCGTCGAGTGAGTCTGTCGCCGTGATTTACTTTAATTGTATGGAAAATCCTCTTTCCTCTTTCCTGGTCCTGTTGTAATTGATCTTGCTTTCTTGCTAGCTTTCTTAATCTATTCTCTTCTCTTTCTTTGGGGTTGAATTGAATTGTCATTGACAAATTAGACTCGAGGTATTGTGTGTGCTATACGAGGTTATACTAACTATACTAACTATACAACCTATATCATCTCCGATGGATACCATCAATCGATAAATGGTGTATCTACCTGTCATCACCAATTGCGCTCCCTACCACTGCCCTTCTCCCTCTCCCTCTCTTATCTTTATATCTTTTATCCCCTCCTTTCAACTCCCCCTTAACAACCCAAATTACCTACCCCTTTCTAACTCCTCCCTCTATCCCCCAAACACCCCCTCAAAGAAAACCACATCCAACTCCAACCGCCCAGAATCGCCGTCACGCCCGTAAACAGAATCAAAGCACCGTACTCACTCGTATAACCGAACGCACCGCCCTGCCCATTGGCCCCGCCAACAGAACCCTTCCTGATGAGCGCCGAGCTCAGCGGCCCACTGATCACGTTTCCAATGCCTCTGCCGCCGGCGAGGAGGCCGAAGACCAGGCCTGTTTCTAGCGACGGGCTTTCCCGCTTCATCTGCGTCAGGACGCCGGACCAGGTGGAGCTGAAGCCGCCGGCGAAGAAACCGTAGGTGGTGGAGAAGAGGGTTAGGAGGGCTAGAGCGGTTTGGGGGTACGAGGCTGAGGAAGAAGATGAGGAGGATGGTGGGGAGGTACAGAGACCCCAGAAGATGAGGACGGAGAGGGCGGATCCTACGGATGATAGGAGCGTGATTTTGGTGACGGCGAACCGGTCGCAGAGCGTGCCGAGTACGATCCCTCCGACGACGGAGGTTGCGTTAAAGAGTGCGATCAGTAGAGTTCCTGTTGTGTCGGAGAGACCGGCCGTGGTGGTTGTGTAGATTGGAAGGTAGGTGGTTGGGAGGAAGTAGCCGAATCCTTGGATGATGTTACCCAGCTGCAGCATCCAGAAGGTGACGAGCTTGAGGAAGGCGAGGTCTAGTGGTCGAGCAGCTGTCGATGAGGCAGGGGGGATACGCGGCTTGACGAAAGGTAAGGTCATTAGGGTAGAGAGGAGCTGGGAAGTAGTCAGCATTAGGGATTCTGGCTTCGAAGAGGCAGTTGCCCTTGTAGAATGTCTGAAGGGTGTCAAACGCACCGTCACAACAGTCCATGCCCTCAATGTAGTCCTTGCCCCAAATTGTTCCAGACAAGCTCTAACGGCAAACGGTAGCGCCACGCCACAGATGCTCTTCGCTGCCCACATGATGCCATAGGCGAGACCCTTTCTCCGAATGAACCACTGATCCAGATATAAGGTCGACGGACTGAAGATCAACCCGTTGCCCACGGCGGCGACAATACCCTGCGTAACAATCAAATGCCACACGGTCTCCGAGAAAGACGAGGCTAATGACCCACCGACGCTCAGTAGAAGACCGACTGAGGCGCAGTGCTTCTGAAGATGAGGATACCGTGTGAGCAGGGTGAATGAGATGGGGGAAAGAAGGTATAGAACGCCCTGTATGGCAGAATACCCGGTTCAGTATTTACGATTGAATATTTGCTAGGAGGGGTGTATAAGCGCAATACCGTAGACGTGGTTCCTATTATTGCTAAATCACCTTTACTTCCCTGTAGAGTGTTGTGCGAGGAGAAGTATTCCTGGAAGATACCAAATACAAGGGAGAACCCTAAGCATGGACAGTCGTCGGTATGATATCTACAGCATTTTTAGGATTGGAGTCTCACCCCAGACTGGCAATTGGATTATACATGATGATACTAGCATCAACCAGGCCGACTTGCCTTGATCGGCTGGTGCTAAAGGCGTCTGTTGAAGCTCGGGGGAGTCGGTGTGGCCCTGGAAGGACTGAGAGCGGGTATCAGTCAATTCATGGGAAGTCATGAGGGATGGACTGGAGGATATAGCTCAAACTCGAGGATGAGCGAGAGATTCCTTCGAGATGAAAAGATGTGAAAAAAAGACAGAAGAGATCGGAGCGACCCCGCAGGATTGTCACGAGATGACTCAAAGGAGGAGGAGGTCACGTTTCCTCCTCTCCTTCTCTCCTTCCTTCCTTTCCATCCCTCGACTTGTTCTATTTATTCGACTTCTCAACACCTCCATCCGCCCCGGAGAAGAAACTCATGGCTGTGTCTTTCCAATAGATGTGTGCTTCTTCAAGATGGCAGGGCACGTCATTGACCTGCTTCCTTCCCCGCAGAATCCAGTCACAGCTGTCATTGGCTAGATTACCTTCAGCTTCAGGTCGTCCGAATGAAACTATAAACCTACCCCTTCATAAACAAGGCCCATGGGGTCGGTTTTCGTGTCTAGGATCTGGGCCAACGGCATCGAGAACATCCATCTGCGATGGCGTCATCCAGACTCTTTCATATACAAATACATACCCACAACTACCACCCTATATCGGCATCTCCATCCGTCCACCCGGAGGGTCACCAAGCCAGAAAAATGCAAAAACCATATGATATAGACACGAAGCACGCTCATGCATATGTACCAACGGAGCAACTCAATCCCACCCAGATACGGCCCCCGAAGAAGCCGTTGGTTTCTTCCCGATTAGGCTCGGACCAAGTGCCGTTCCTACTGCAACCCGGGAAAGAAATCATCAATGCCGAAGTCATTAATCTATTTCTGTCCTTGCTCGCGCTTCGTGACCCACCAATCTAGCCTTTGCTCGTTTGATGGCGTCCAGTCGGAGAGATTGGTCGTGGGAGATGGTTATTACTCTCCCGCGGGAAGGCTGACGCCATGTTTGGATGCAGGTCTAGGCATTTCATCGCGGCGTCAAGGCGAGGGAGGGTGGATGTATGCAAATTGCGGTGGGCGGGGTTGCAAAGAAGGACTGAAGGGTTGGTCTGGAGGGGATAGGAATGGGAAAGCAGACGATATATGGCCCAACAGGCCGTATATAAAGGTGATCATTTCCCCATCGAAGTTGAGTTTCTTTCCTTCTATACTTCAGCGGACTTTCTCTTCTTCTAGACCCAACTGGTCAATAACACCATCACCTACACTTACTGGTACATCCTGTACCTGATCAACCAACCATCATGGATTCCAAACGCTCTTCCACCACAATGCTGGCCATCCTGCTCGCCGCCTCTCGTGTCGCAGGCCACGGTCACGTCACAAACATCGTCATCAACGGCGTCTCCTACGAAGGCTGGGACATCAACTCCTTCCCCTACATGGACCAGCCCCCGGTCGTAGTGGCCTGGGGCACCCCCAACACAGCCAACGGCTTCATCTCGCCCCCCGACTACACCTCCTCGGACATCATCTGCCACCTGAACGCCACAAACGCCAATGGCCACGCCTCCGTAGCGGCCGGAGACCGCATCAACCTGCAGTGGACCGACTGGCCCGAGACACACCACGGGCCGGTGCTGGACTACCTCGCCGACTGCGGCTCCTCATGCGAGACAGTCGACAAGACGAGCCTAGAGTTCTTCAAGATCTCAGAAGTTGGACTCGTCGACGACTCCTCGGTGCCAGGCATCTGGGGCGACGACCTACTCATCGAGAACAGCAACTCCTGGCTCGTGGAGATCCCCGAGAACATTTCGCCGGGGAATTACGTGTTGCGACACGAGCTGATCGCGCTGCATAGCGCGGGCACGGAGAACGAGGCCCAGAATTACGTGCAGTGTTTCAATCTAAAAGTCACGGGGAGTGGGTCGGCGACTCCTGAGGGCGAATCCGCGACGAAGTTCTATACCCCGACTGACCCCGGCCTGCTCGTTAATATCTATGATACGCTGGACTATGAGATCCCCGGGCCGTCTTTGATTGCGGGCGCTACGCCCATTCTCGAGCAGACCACTTCTGCCATCACGGCGACGGGCACGGCGACCGCAGGGGTTTGAGGAATGAGGTATGATGAGAAAGTTAGGTGAGCTGTGTGTAGTTAGTGATGTGGTATGTCAAGTCAGGTATTTCCTAGCCAGGGCAGAGTAGTTAGTTACCAAGTGCCAATACTGAGAAATGTTTTCTACAAAGGAATTCTTAATCGATATCAAGGTGAAAATAGAAAATTTTCTTGTCATCATTTGATCGACTTCAATTCCATTAGAAAAGAGCCGTAAAAAAGTATCGGAAGGACCAGAGAACGTCGTCAGAAACAACTGAGTTGTAAAGAGACAATGTCAAGAAAAAGACGAAAAAAGGGGGGTAGTAAAGACAAATCGTGAAGCAGAAAGCTGCACATAAATCACCGATCGAAAGGCCCATCTCAAGCCAGATTCCTTTAGCCAGATTCCTTTAGCCATACACATCCCAGAGTATATCCGTAACCCGCTTTCCTTTCCACACGCCCGTACGCCTTTTGCAAACCCAGCAGAAAATAGAAAACAAGGGAAGAAAGAAAAAGAACAAAGAAAAGAACCCGTATCCACGACAAACGCCAACCCCGATCGTTTACACACTTGGTATTGAAAAAGAATAGGAAAAAGAGAAAAGAAAAGTAACAGAAAGAGAAGAATCGTTTGACAAGAGGAAAAAGAAGTGACAAAGAACTTCGTCAAATGAGTCCCCCCAAGGGGGTATCCTTACAAACCCATCCATTATGAAAGAGGTGGAAGTTGTGACGGACGTGTCAACTCGGGAACATCCTTCATGGCGACATCCGGAGAACTAGCGTCAGGTTTGGCTGTACCTCCATAACTCGTCGTCTCATCCTTAGCACGTGGAATTTCCACAGGAGTCGTTGCAGCTTCGTGATTCACCGGGGGATGACTAGGTGGCGAATTCGGCGGCGGCATCGCGGTGACCGGAGTAGGAGGCTTCTCAGAGGTCGGCGTTGTCAGAGTTCCTCTTCGGATCAAATAATCGCCTAGGCTGAGCTTCTTCTTCGCGGGGCTGGGTGCCGTTACGCCAGAGCCAGGAGCCGCCGCGTTGTGTTGAGGAGGGTCCAAGGTAGGTGGGGATGAGAGAACCGATGGGGCGGCCGAGTTTGGACCCGTGGATGGCACGGTTGCAGGGCCCTGAGCATCAGCCTGACCACCAACCCTGCTGCTTCCAGGTAGTCGCGCATTGTGGGCCGCTGTTGAGGGCCACGGAGGCGGCAACGGAGGTTTGACAGAGCTTCGGCTTGACAATGGCGAAGATTCTACATCGCGTGGTTGTTGCTGCGCTGGAGACAGTCCCAGAGGCGAATCCACATCTTTCATCTCCACGTCTTCCTTCTCACCGGACACACTGGGGGTTGTGGCAGTGGGAGGCGCTCCATGGGGACTCGAAGAGGGTGAGGCAAGATGTGGGATGAGATTCTGCTGAGAAGGCGATATGGGTGATTGCTGACTTTGTTCCAGCCGTACACGATCCGAATAGCACCGCTTCAGCAGTCGCTGGGTGAGCGACACGAAGCTGGGTCGTCGAGGGGATGACAGTGAAGGCAGAGATCGTCCATCGCTAATGTCCGGCTCGGTTTGGATGGCAGAGTCCACGTACGGCTGGCGACCACTGGGCGAGCGCATTGGGGGATTGCTTTGTCCAGATGTTTTCCGTGGCGATCCGTGACGTGCCAGGGACGTCAGCCCGGTTGAAGTGGTCAGCGGAGGCGAGTGGGATTGTCGGTCGTGAGACCCAGGTGTCGTCTGAGTGGTTGGGCCGCTGGCACGCTTCTTCCGTTTGTGCGACGTTTGCTGATCATGCTCCAATTGTTGGAACTTTTTCTCGGCCGCCGCGATCTTCCGCTTCTCACGTGCAGACAGCTCCGTGTCCCCAAAGCCATTCCCTTCCGTAGGGGTCTGCAAAGTCGGCGTCAGATCGCGACTCTGGGTGTGACCTCGTGCAGAGCCGGACGCCGAGCGGCTTTCGGCCGGATCCTCTTCTTCCACGTTCTTTGTGGTCTCACTGCCAGCACGGCTGTTCGTGGCCGGCGGTGAGATGTTGGACTTGCTTTTCGTTTTCTTGCGCCTGGCAGCGGCGGCTTGTTTGGCGCTGGGATCCAATGCTTTGGGGTACCGTCGGCGATCCACGCTGGACAACAGGCAGGGCATCGATGTGTTACAAGCGCATCCGCCAAAATGAGCCAGCACATTGCTAATGCAGATGGCGGCCAGGTCTTGCGAATTGTCACTGGACTCCTGTTTGACAACACCATTCGTGGACTCGAAGAGTTGTGGGTCTAAGTACCACATGGCGGTGATCTCCGAATCGGCAGCGATGTCCTCCTTGGCGACAAAACAGAAATGATACTCCACCTCATTAGTGATGTAAGTTTTCATGGTCACATTAGGTCGACAGGAGCGCCGAACGTAGCGAAGAATGCTACCCTCATGTCGACTGTCGATGTAAATGGGGAGTTGAGGATGGAAGAAGACGAACGGCTCCGGGTGTCGGAGTTCTTGCCAACGATTACTTGGATCTAGGCAATAATCCCGAAGCAGTCCTATCTTTCCTGTGATCTCTCCGACGATCTCGTCCTTGGACACGCGATTTTCTGTCTTGAGGATCTTCCAGGTCGGGTGTTTGCCATCCACTTCAACGAGGGAATCGGTAATGGATTCTGTAGACAGCGACGGCCATCGAGACCGGTCAATGTCAGCCCCCGACCAGGTGAAGATGTCCTGCGCCGACCGACCGTTCGCGACACGAGCCAGCGCACTGGGCTCCGTCACCCACGACGCCAAGTCGGCAGCAAGGGGGAGGTTGACAAAGAGATTACTGTCCATGTTGGCATGCCCCTGGTCACGTTCATACAGGTGAAGAAACTCATTTGAATAGAGGGGGATTGAAGGCCCGGACGGTTTAGTAGGGCTCATCGAGGTAGCAGAACGCTTCCGGGCGTCTGGCTGGAGGGAGGGAAGGCCGGACATTGAGCTGATCGAGCCCGAGGCGCGATGGTTGGTTTTGGTCTTTTTAGAGGGATGATGGTCTCGGGAACCAGACTCGGATCGGTTGTGAAAACCATTCACCTGGTCACCATGCTCCTTCGGTTTCTTCTTCTGAGCCTTTGCGCCAGAACGTTTGGCTTTGCGGTCACCGCCATCACTCTGCTCTCTAAGGCGTCGTTGCCGCTCCGTAGCGCGCCGGCCGTCCAGCGAACGGGGTTCACAATCTGCGCAGTTGTGGACCTCTGGCACGTCCTGACCGTGGTAGTAGCACTCGATATGCTGCCAGGTCTCGCATCCCTCGCAGAAGACCGTGTTCCCATCGTCATCTTCAAAAGAGCAGATACATTTGATGGTATACGGCTCCTCCTCCTCAGGAGCGGCGGAGTCGGAAACGGCGCCGTTGACGACCGGCGAGTTCAGAGGGACGGTGACCGGATATGGCTCCGTGATTGGTTGCGTGGTGGCGACTGGGGAGGTATCTGTCATAATCTGACAGAATACCCCCTCTCAGGCAAGCACAAAGGGAAAGCGCGCGGTTGGGGGATGCTTTTCTTCCTCGGGCGGACGAACGGCTTACGGGGAACCCGTCAAAGCCCAGCACGCATGTCACTCTGTCACTGCAGGCGATAATCTTCCGTCGGTGGAAACGATAAACCTCGCAGCAGGACAGCAATGAACACGGCCAGTATAGTGTATTGCTAACCAGAGGGGCTGTTCGATCCTCCAAAGAGTCAAGAGTCCGTATTCGAGCAGCTGACGAGAAGAACAAGAGTCTGAGGGGGAATGCAGTCAGCCGCACAAGGACTTAGGACCACAGGAATCGTCGACGGATCGAAGGATATCGTTTCTCCAAGGGTCTGAATCGTATCTTGGGGTCGTAAGAGAGGCGGACGAGGATAGAGGCGTTAATCGAGTCGTCGAGCTCTGTGGCGCGTGCGACCGTGGGTGAGTAGGAGGGTGTCGAGAAGCGGGAACCGATGAACGCAAAGAGACGGACGGACCACGAATCGCATGGAGGGAAGATCAAATAAGCGACGAGGCGACGGGAATGGTCAGTTGAGAGCTCGGGCGAATTCCAAGTCGAGGAGAGGAACGTGGTTAGAGACGACGGGATGGAGGTGACGGATGAAGACAAAGGGGAAGTGAACGGGAGGGAGAAGAGGAAGAAGAGGAAGAGGACTCGAGAAAGTGTGGTAAGAAGAGAAGAGCCGGAGGGGAGGATGGCTCAGGAAGAAAGGAAGACTGCCGATCAGGGAAGAAGAGAACAAAGGTCAAGAGCAAGCGAAAAGAGGGAGAGGAAGAGAGGGCGAGGGAGAGGGCGAAGGAGAGAGGAGGGAGGGAGAGCCGTGAGAGAGGCTAAAAGCCACGGATGGGCCATTCAAGCGGCGCGTCCAAGACCCAGAATGAAAGAGGAAAAGCGTCGAATTTTTTTCCCACCCGCTCTTGCTCTGGCTCCGGGGGGAGGTAGCTTGGGGTGACTCGGCGATGGGTTTATAAAATTAAGGGGAGGAAGAGGGGAGGAAGGAAGGGTTTAGAGTGATGGATACTCGAGCTGGATGTTCCTGCAAGACGCCGACAAAAAACCCACCATATTTTGCAAATGGAACAGTCCATGAAATCGCCAGACGGGCAAAGATGACGAAGCAGAGCGAAGGGACGCCGCCGGGGAGCATCGACCGGTTTCGAGGGGCCTGAGAAGTCAGGCTGGTTCTGCCGGGTGCTGCCTGGGCACGGGGTTTCATGGGCCGCTTGTCCGTTTTCAGTAAGCGAGAGGGCCGCTAGTCCGGATGGAGTATTCCAAGCCCCAAGATCCTGTTCCGGTTTAGCGGGAGAAACCTCTTTGGCGGCTGGGAGGCGTGAGCGGCCATGCTGCATGTAAACAAGACTGGGACTTTCCCGGTGAGCGAGGGTGAGGAGGGCGTGAGGAGATCCAGAGGTCAGTGGTTCACCGTGGCAACAGTCTGTGGATACGAGGGTGGTGGAGAGAGAGGGAAAGGGAAAAAGTAAAGCAATGAAAAGAAACCATGGTCTGGCCACCAAACAAGATCATGCATGTCTTCCCCGGAGACTAGTCCGTTAGGTAGTAGTAGTGCCTGTCAGGTGTAATCCACAGTCTCCCAACGGGAAGAAAATTTTCCACGAGAAGAGAAGAGGGAGGAAGATGAGGAAGAAGTAGAAAGTAGGAAGTGTTAGTATCGTTGGCTGTGGTTAGTCATAAGAGCAAAGTCACAGATGAGCAAAAGAAAAAAAAGGTCAAGCCAGGGCCAGCCCTGCGGCTGATCGATGAGTCGTGACATGCTTCTTATAGCAAAGCCACACCGAGGGGGGGCGACAAACGCTGGTCCCCCCTCCGTTTCTGAAACCGTGACGCCCAGGAAGAATAGCTCAGGCAGGATGAGATCCCGACCGTAGCAAGAGTCCAAATCAACGGGCTTGCAACGATTTCTGGCCCTCGTTGAAGGGGAAGTAAGGAGGCCAAGGTCCTCACGATATACATGACAGCGCAGGCGATGAACACGAAACGAGGAACGATGGATGGAACCCGACGTTCAGGAGACAAGCAGAAAGGGAAGAAGAGGAAATCTGGAGAGTAGAAACGAAGGAGTGAAAGGAAGAAGAAAAAAGAGGGATGGAGTCAAGGGAGATTGATAGTTGGGATCCATTCGGTTCTCCATAGTTTAGTGGGTTGATCAGTTGTTGTCGGGCGACGTTTAGAGGAAGAGGGGAGAAACCGGAGCGAGGAAAAGTCATCTGGACGGGGGCAAGTACAGTACTCGATACTAGGCAGTAGTGTACTATGATCTTCCCGAGACACCGTTCCGGGGGGATGAACAGAATGAATAATGAAGGAAACAGGAAGAGAGGGTGTAATCGAAGAAAATCAAAATCAGAAGCAAGTCCAAAATGCAAATCCAAGTCACAAAGGCCCGAGGGGGGGAGGACGGGGGCCTAATTAAAGGATGGGTTAATGATTCGTTCCTTACTAGTCAACGATGGTCCAACCCCAAAGCGGTCGACGATGGCAACAATAATTACCGGCTGGATATCGCCTTTATTAGGATTATCTGTTCGGGTGACACTGCCAATACTAATTTAAATACCTCCGGCTCATGTTAGGGACGCCTAGGGGACTTTTAGGGGACTTTTAGGGGCTGCCCAGTGGCGAAAACTGGAGGCCCCGTCGCTGCCTGGATGCCTGGGTCCTTCGGCCATAAGGCCGAGTGGGAGATTTACTCCACCTTCGCCATCTACGACCAAGATCGTCTATCCGATACTACGCGAGGCAGACGACTGCTGGTCCGAAACCGAAAGAAACACGCGCAGGCTCTGTGTGTCGACATGATGCATTGCTCACGGGTCTATCTGTAGTACTACTCGATTGCTGCCCCTTTCCCTCGGGACCGCACTGGTCTCCCTCACACACCCGGAAGCCACTCACTAAACCCGTACGGGCGCTCAGTGTCCAAGAGATGGTATGCTGGGATGCGGATTCTCGGTCGGGTGTCGGCAGTGCTCCATGGTGAGGGTGTCGGTGGCAGGCACCTGTGCCATCGAAGCCTTCGCGTAGTGCCCAATATAGAGCAGAAGGAACGTGATTGCTCCCAAATACACCGCCACCGGGTTCCGGATAGTTAACCGCGCCGGGACCACGGTCATGAGGATGTTGGCAAGCGACAGCGAAGCGCAGACCAGCATGGCGAAGTACGTGCCTAATGGCTGGATGAAGGTCTGGTGTACGCAGACAAACCCCTGCGTTTTGGTCGCCCGTCGAAAGCGCAGGTAAACAATACACAGGCACAGCCAGGAGATATAGCCCGAAGTCGTGATGAAATAGAGCAGGAAATTGAAGACAACTGATACAGATAGCCTCAGGGACAGAAAAGCGAAGCTCGAAAACATGGCTGATGCCATTACCGATGCATATGGGACTCCCCAGCCGTTGCGATTCTTGAAGAGCGCCGGCGCGTGTCCCGCTTCGGCCATCGAACACAGGGTGCGCGATGACATGAATAGGAACGAGCGAGCGGAGGCCACGGACGAAAAGAATATCAGCGTGGTGGCGATAACGGGAAGCGCACGAATTTGGGATCTGCGAACACCCACGACGTACGGCGACAGTCCGGCACCAGCACCGTAATTCGTCAGCAACAGCTCGTTTGACGGGCTCATCACGCCGACAGCCAATCCACTGAGGATGTAGAGCACGCAAAGGTGAATGTTGTCGATCTGTGCCACCCTCAAGATATTGAACCCTGTATCCGTGTCGGCCTTTTCCGCTCTCCCCACGGTCAACTCGGGACTGAAGATGAACAAGATGGTGCTGTAAAGAACGCATTGCACTAGACCCAAGAACTGTCCCAGATAGCCCGGCATAAGGTACCGATTTACCGCGCCGGGGTGACGCCAGTAATAGAAGCCCCGGATTGAGGTACCAGGGATCCCTCGAGCCGCCAGGAAAACGGAAAGAAGTATCAGCCCGATCGTCGTCAGAAGCTTCACGCCCGTAAAGAAAGCCTCCGTTCTTTTAAACACCCTCTCTGGCAGCATGTTGAACAAAAAGATTACCCCTGCGACGATGGCAATTCGTATTGTCACGCGGGTGCCGGGCTCCCATAAGGCCAGATTGACCATCGCGTTGATTATTTCAAAGGAGGCGAGTAGAGCTAAGGTGTACCAGCGAAGGTACCCGAGAGCGAAGCCAAGATGAACAGAGCCATATCGATACGTGTGCGAGAGCAGCGTGCCATCGCGGACGGGCATGTGAGCTGCGATTTCCGCAGCTGCAGTGGTCAGACAGTACACCAAGAGGGATATGAATACATAAGCAACAAGCAACGAGGCGGGACCTCCCACGGCGAGAGCTTGGCCAGAACCGATGAACAAACCGGTTCCGAGAGTGGGGCCGACCGCCATTATAGTACAATAAGGATGGAGAGGCTGGTGATGTCAAGTAGGTCTTCGTGAGGTAAGGTATGAAGAGCATGGTCGATGGAAGACATTCCTGCCAGAGTCCCGCGACTCGCTTAACACTTGCTCAAACGACGTGTGGCTGGCCGAAAGGACTGCGGGTTGCAACTTCCTGCCCAAATAACTATGGCCATGACACGTAAGGCAAATTGGGCAAGCACCTCAGGCGTGACTGCTTGGGTGCCCAGATGTCAATTAAATTGGGAATTAGGTGTAAGTGAAGAAAAGACACATTAGAATACAAAATATTAGAAGCCTGTAGCCCCGAGAGTGTATGGGTATCACTGTCTACTAAACATGACAATCACACGGCGAGGGAGTTCCCATGCAACAACCGCCAACCGCGTGTACAAGAACGCCCGTCAATGTCAGATTCGAGCCCACCCTCCTCCTAAAATGTCGAACTGTCCAAAATGTCAAGAGATCTTATCAAAAGGTGGAATCGACAGGCAAATGTAAAGATTAAAGTAGACAAGGGCAACCAAATGAGAGCGTGATCACTCATTGATACGTCATGTCCGTTTCTGCATATTCAAGCCATTCACCGGACAGGGATTTCTTCCAAAATCGTACGATGCCGTCATCGCCGGATGAAATCAGACAGTCACCTATACCTAGTAAGAGAGCTATTCAAATGAAAAGGCATGAACTCAGTAGAAGTACTCACCGGCATATGAAAATCCCACTTGCCACACATCAAGATGCTTGCTGTCGAGACACACAGCTTCCTTGTACGAATGTTTGAACGGATTGTCATCGGTAGGTGCGCGACTTGACAACGACTCAGGTGCACGATTCGCAAGAGCAGAGCCAATTCCTGATTGTGTTGTTGCCCGGGTCGATGATTGGTGATTGGTGGAATCGGCATGGCTCCCATTGGAATTCTGGCTCCCTTGGTTGGACGTAGTATACACTTCGAAGATCCGAATGAACCCGTCCTTGCAGCCACTTGCAATTAGGTCGTAGCCTCGAACTGAGCCATTGGCCCAGGCAATATCTCGAACCAGCCCTCCATGGCCAGACAATTCAATGGCATGATAGAACCGACGATTCGCGTCTGTGCGATATACTTTGACGCTATCCATAGCCGCAACCACCAGTGAAAGACTCTTGCGATCCCAAGAAGGTAGGACGGAGTGCGTGATGTCCGTGGGATCCTGATGGAATTGTACCCTGAAGCTGGTTTCTTCGCCTCGCTCGGGTGCAGTACACACGCGAAATTGGTCCAGAGGTTGCCAGTCCGTAAGTGTGTCTGGAGTGACTGGTTCCATGATCATCAAGTAGCCATCTCGGGTAATCACAGCAAAATAAGACTCCAGATCAATGTTACGGAAGTCAATTGAGACAAACGGATGTCGCTGCGGCGCCGTCATCCGAAAGACAGCCCTGAAGCGGCGACCAGAGTTGGGCGGCTGGGTGACATCTTCCTGCCAGATCTTGCATTTCATGTCTTCGCCTACACTACCGATATGCTGACCAGTGAACGGACCGTTCCACGTTGCCTTTGCAGGGGTTAGTACTCACTCCGTAGCAGCGTGCAGGGAACAGGGGGTGGACGGGTGGTGGTGTTGCTTACATCCCGAATTTCGGCATCATGAGCACGCCAGGTGTCGGTGAGCTGCCACTCGCCATCCTTCTGGTCCCAGACTTTCATGCGATGGTCGGAAGATGCCGTCACGATGCGATTGCCATAGAAGTTGAACTTGGTGACCGAAACCAAGTCACGATGGCCGGCGTCGAAATCGGCGAATCCAGACATGTCGGGCTGTGGGGGGTCGGTGTTACCAACCCAAAATAAAGCCTGGCAAGCAGCCTCAGCCACCACGGTGAGGCATACAGACACGTACTAAATTTAAAGCTGCCGGTTGGCGACGAGTCTCCATGTATGGAATCCAACGGGACGTGCATGTGAAGCCGGCGAAACAATCCCGTGCCGTCGAATGGCTGGGAGGGAGGGATTATGTCAGCTGTGGCAGCCTGGGGAGCGCTATTCACCGCCTGACGTGGCGGTCGCGTTCATCCGGCAGAATTTACATAGTGTCTAGTGTCTTTTGCTTTAAATGCCACATTGCATTGCGCGTCCTCGGTGTCGTCTCCTTATTCTCGACAGGAGAGTTATATTTTGGACAGGAGCCAGGAATGCTGGAATCAGTCCGTTCATGATGAGTTCCTCAACCTCCAATTCTCTCTCCACGCGGGAGAGTTGGCGCCTGTTGATCCTTGTGGGGGTCTGCCTGGGTATCATCTTTCATTCATTCCAAGGTGAAGGCGCGCCCTTGGTAACGTCAATCGCCTTCAGTGGGATCGTATTTGCGATTACGTTCAGTCTTATCCGATGGCTTGGACCCGTGTTTGTGAAAGCTGGCTTAAAGGGCAGGGACATGGCGAAACCTCGAAAACCGGAGATGTGCGTTACAGGTCTCCTTCCTTGATTGATCGGTGTAGATAAGCTGCAAAAATCAACGAGGCACGTTCTCGCTAACTCTTCAAATACTAGTCCCGAGACTATGGGTGCAGTATGCGCCATCGTCTATCTCCTAGGTCTCATTTTCTTTATCCCGTTTGCTTTCTACAAGGATATTGTGGCCGCTACTTCGGGTGGAGGTAACCGCGATGTTGTACTTGAGGTCGAGCATGTTGAGACTGGGCGGATGCTACATCGGTTTCCTCATGGAAAGGTGAGTGGTTTATTGTTTGGCTATTGTGTTACTCCTTCTCTTCACCGCATTATTGACCTGGAGCCTTCTAGCTTGCATCCTATCTCTCTGGACTCCTTTCTCTTCAGTGTATTGTCCTATTGGGTATTGGTGATGACCTACTTGACATCAGATGGAGACACAAAGTCCTCATACCAGCATTCGGGGCAATCCCTATGCTCATCGTGTACTTTGTGGACTTTGGTGTCACTCATGTGGTAGTCCCAGTGCCATTGCAGCCCTACCTAGGATCCTTTGTCGATCTTGGTTGGCTTTATTATGCGTACATGGCTGCGGTGTCCATATTCTGTCCTAATTCTATCAACATGCTAGCCGGTATCAACGGCGTGGAGGTTGCTCAGTCTCTCGTGATTGCAGTCCTGCTCATTGCGAACGATTTACTGTACCTCGCACCCATTACTCCATTCCCACACCCCGCCACCGACTCGCACCTCTTCTCTCTATATCTTCTTCTTCCTTTTGTCGGTGTATCGCTAGCATTGCTGTTTCATAACTGGTACCCCTCCAAGGTCTTTGTTGGGGACACATACTGCTATTTTGCTGGGATGGTCTTTGCCGTCGTTAGCATTCTGGGACACTTTAGCAAAACCCTCCTGCTTCTCTTCATTCCGCAAATCTTCAACTTTCTATATTCGACTCCTCAACTTTTCAAGCTGATTCCATGCCCCCGACACCGGCTGCCTCGATTCAACGGCATCAGCGGCCTGCTGGACGCCTCCGTGACCGAATGGACCATGCCACCTTCGCCGCTCGTTGCGACTGCCTTGGATCTTCTGCACAGCCTACGACTAGTACGTGTCACGAAGAACGAAAAAGGCCAGATCATGGAGTCGACGAATCTCACTATTCTTAACCTCTGGCTAGTCTGGTGGGGACCCATGAGAGAAGACCGGCTAGCCCTCAGCATGGTCATTGTCCAGTTTGTTTGCGGTCTTTTTGGTCTCTTTGTGCGACATTGTCTTGCATTGCTGGTCTTTCGTGAGGACAACCGAGCGTTTCGATATGCAGTCTAGAATATACTGATTGGCTCGAAATATGTTCCTTGTGTGGAGCATGAGCGGGGAGTATGTTTACTAGCACTTTTTATAGATATAGAATAGGTGGAATTGGCATTCTCTTGCATTTGCACCAGTATCTTCCTATCATATACTCTGCGAATGTAGACCCAAGCGTGCAGAACTGACGATGCATGCAACATGACGACATGATGTGGATATCATGCCACCCTAGTTTATCTCGTTTATCTCGTTTATCTGCACATTGCTGACGGATGACACTGGAATCGCCCAGGGGAGCTATCTGACCGGCAGCTATGGAGTAAAAGCGGAACTGGGTGTGACCCACAGGGTCCTATCTCCGTTTGCTTACTTCTGCTTACATCCCAATGTTTCCTGTTCCCCAGTTCCTCCCCGCTCAACTCAATTCTTTGTTCTTATCATTGATCCTGATCATCGGCTTGGCTGAGCTCATGAGCTTCAACATGCCTCGTTTTGTGACGTTGCTGCCTGCAAGCGACTAGAATCGCAATTACCGATTGTACAGCCTGAAAAAGGCTTTATAGACCTGCATCCTACTACTATGATTTTCTACAAGTTCTTCATTAATTTTCTCTTGATCGTTGAACATTAAAACTTTCCCCCTGAAATCCGGATAAGTGATGGCACTCAACGCTACGATGCGAGGTGTTGTCTTCGATGGTACCCCTTTTCAGGTATCTGTCGTCGATCTACCTCGTCCAAACATTATCAATCACACCGATGCAGTTGTTCGCATTACCACTTCGGCTATCTGTGGTTCGGACCTGCACATGTATCATGGATTCCAAGGGGGCACTCCTCCCTGGGGAATGGGCCACGAGGCCATTGGGTATATTTCCGAGCTCGGAAACGCGGTATCATCCCTAGCAGTGGGTGACTATGTCGTGATCCCTGACAATGTGGGTTCGGGCCACTTGGAGATGGAGCCGGAAAGCCTTCAGTCATACGGAGGGGGTTCGGGTCTGGATGGACTGCAAGGTAGAGAGATAGACATCCAGCTCTCCTATGGCTTATGTATTGTCAGCTAACGGACCAATTCTCTCACTAGCGGAATATGCTCGTGTCCCGTTCGCTGACGATAGTCTTATTCCGGTGCCTTTGACTCACAATTCCACGAACTCGTCCATCGAGCGAGACTACCTGACGGTTTCGGATATCTTCGCCACGGGCTGGAGTGCGGTGGACTACTCCGGCTTTGAACCTGGAGACACAGTAGCTGTCTTCGGAGCCGGCCCCGTCGGTCTACTTGCTGCATACTCTGCTCTCCTTCGCGGTGCGTCGCGCGTCTACTCGGTCGACCACGTTCCCATGCGGTTGGAACGGGCCGCCTCGATCGGAGCTATTCCAATCAACTTCAACGAGTCAGACCCGGTGCAACAGATCCTGGAGCGCGAATCATTGGGCGTTACCCGCGCGTTGGACTGCGTGGGTATGGAAGCGATCAACACCCAAGGAGATATACAGGAGGACATCATCCTGCAGAACATGGTCGGTGTGGTCGCTCAAAATGGCGGTCTTGGGCAGGTCGGTGTGTATATGGCTCAGAGCAGTTCCGCCGGGGCACCCTTGGGCGACACCATCGCTCAAAACATCACATTCCCCGTGACCGAGTTCTTCGGTAAGCATCTACGGTACGAAGCAGGTGTAGTCGATCCCAAGGTTTTGGCACCACAGCTGGTGGAGTTGATTGCAGCGGGTCGGGCCCATCCGAGTTTTATTTCCACTGCGAGTATTCGTCTGGAAGAGGCACCGAGATATTATGAGCGGTTTGATCGGCATGAGGAGATCAAGGTGTATATTCATTTTCCTTAGTTGTGTTGCTGTCGGTGCGTATGTTGTTCGGGGTGATCATGGAGCTAGAGTAGATAGGAGTGAACACAGGAGTGCATGGATTAGAGGTTTTTTTATGTCAAAATTGATTTCCGTATATGATTCTCCAACATGGTTAATCCAAGAGAATTCAACTGGCATGCTTCGATGTTGGGTACCTTGCCTTTAGATCAGAATTTGTCAGGCGAGGGTAATTTCCCATTGGTGGGTGTATCCCATTGAAGACAGTTTCTTAAGGTAACTGTATGGCTCTTGGTTTTTATCTTTTTGAGAATCTTGACTGTGAGTATCTTGATGCGATAGAATCTGGTTGACGGGAGGTATATTCTGAGTGGCTCCTGGGAGTTTGGCATCCACCTGTGTCATTGTTCCATATGATCACGCCTAGGCGGGCAATACACCATGGTATCTGTGAAAGAGTGCATATACCAATTCGGCGGTTACTGAAAACCATGAAGAAAGTGAAGGAGGATCGCGGGGTTAGCTAAGCAGAAATCCGTGTCATCCCGGCTTAACTCCCAGGGTCTGAACTCTGAAGGCTTAACTCCCTCAGGCAATCGCCTATTTCCGATGTCATCGACGTTCAACCTAGCGCCATGCGCGTTCCTCAATTATGGGGATAGTGGAACCTCAAAGACAACCCGTCCTTCACTGATCAATGGGCTCCACTGTGAAGTCAGCCTTTTGGCGCTCCTTCCGGAGATATGGCTAGCTTGATGACACCTGGTCTTGATCAAGGGAATGGTGTCTATATAAAGCTAGAAATTCAGAGTATGGAGTGAGATGTCCAATTCCATCCTTTTAACATTCTACAGCGTAATACTCTCAAAAATTTAAACAACACCCTCCGTTACAATCTCACTTCTCATCATCGCCACCATGTCGAGTCTCTTCGCTCCTGCGCCCGAGCCAGCCACCGAGCTCGGTCGCTACCGCATCCTTTCCTCCACAGCGGGCCTCCGAGTGTCGCCCCTTCAGCTAGGTGCCATGTCCATTGGAGACGCATGGACCGATGTCATGGGATCCATGGACAAAGAAGCCTCCTTTAAACTCCTCGATGGTTTCGCGGAGGCCGGCGGTAACTTCATCGACAGCGCCAACAGCTATCAAAATGAGCAATCCGAGGCATGGATCGGAGAATGGATGGCTTCCCGGAAGAACCGCGACCAAATGGTGATCGCAACCAAGTTTACTACCGACTACAAGAGCTATGCACTCGGCAAGGGCCGCGCCCCTAACCACTGCGGGAACCACCGCCGTAGTTTGCACATGAGCGTGCGTGATTCCTTGCGCAAGCTGCAAACCGATTGGATCGATATCTTGTACCTTCACTGGTGGGATCACACGACCTCTATTGAAGAGATCATGGATAGCCTTCACATTCTGGTGCAGCAAGGAAAAGTCCTCTATCTGGGCATCTCCGACTCTCCCGCCTGGGTTGTGAGCGCGGCCAACACCTACGCTCGAGACCACGGCAAGACGCCTTTCAGCATCTACCAGGGACGGTGGAACGTGATGCTACGTGATTTTGAGAGGGAGATTATCCCCATGGCACGACACTTCGGCATGGCTCTAGCCCCCTGGGATGTTCTTGGAAGTGGCAAGTTCAAGACCAAGAAGGCTATCGAGGAGCGGAAGCAGAGAGGCGAAGGACTGCGAAGCATGCTGGGTAACGGCGAGCAGACCGAAGATGAATTCAGAATGAGCGAAGCCTTGGCTAAGGTGGCATCGGAGCACGGTATTGAATCCGTGACAGCCATCGCAGTGGCCTATGTCATGGCCAAGGCACCCAACGTGTTCCCCTTGGTGGGTGGCAGAAAGGTCGAGTACCTCCACGACAACATCCAAGCGTTGAAGATCAAGTTGACTCCGGAACAAATCGAATATCTTGAGAGTGTGCGACCTCTAGATATGGGCTTCCCCAACAACTTCATCGGACCTGATCCTAAGGTGACAGGCCAGGCGAGTGGATTGTTGGCGGCGAATGCAGCTTTTGCCTTCTGAAACCGTGTCAGCCGAAAGTCCATCAGTTTGCTGAAAGCAATGTTCTTGTTCCACTGTATTCCACATTTTATACTAATTGAGCCCACTTCTAATATGAAATTACGTCATAGAATGCGTCTTTCCCCTCAGTAAAAACTAGAGAGTTCTCGATGTTGCTGGAATCCTCGTCCGGACCTCGTCATGGTGTGAGACTTGAGGGGTGAAGGATGAGAGCAACGTACCTGAAGAAGTTCGCATGCATCCCGATCTGATGCTCCGGAGTCGCACTGGGAAAGATATAGATCTGAGCACCCCTGCATCGCTGCAGATGGCGCAAATCCTTCGACGGATTGGTCAATCACGGGCCGAGTGTTAGTCAGGTCCCGTGATGCCGCCGCGACTAAGCGCCCGCCTTCGCCGGTGTCGGCGGCCCGAGTCATCGTGGGTCCCGCATGCGGCCAATGACCGACCAGACATTGGGCGCTGACCAGCCGAGATCGGGAAGGCCCCTCGTCGGGTGTCGAGCGACATCGCGGTCTCGTCGGAGCTTTAAAGCATTGCATCCACGCCTCTCTCCCTCCGCCTTCTCCAGATTATACCCCCTTGACTCTCTTGACTTCTGGAGACACTGCTAGCTTCTTGCCAGTGACTCAGTCTTTCTGGATCCTTTTCCTTTCTCTTTATACCATAGAATACATTCGCTTTTCCCCAGTTTGCCCCTCATGCCTTCCGCCGACAAGAAGCCCAAGACCTTGTATGATAAGGTCTTGGACCACCACATTGTCAACGAACAGGAAGATGGCACTCTTCTCATCTATATCGGTAAGCATATTCGGCTCCGCGACGCCATTTCAGAGCTCGGAAGGTCTAATTTCGCTCTGCAGACAGACATTTGGTTCACGAAGTGACTTCACCGGTTAGTAGGACCGTTTTCTACCAGCACTTTCAGCCTAAAGCTTTTGGGGTGCAGTATAAAATCTAATAATCATACAGCAAGCCTTCGAGGGACTTAAGAATGCCAGCCGAAAAGTCCGCCGGCCGGACTGCACTTTGGTCACTGTCGATCACGTACGTTCTTCTCATCTTTTCTTCGTCTTTCTCTGAGGGCACTGGTACTGACTCAATCGCAGAACATCCCGACCTCCTCCCGAAAATCCTTCAAGAACGTCGATAACTTCATCGAAGAAGACGACTCTCGCCTTCAATGCAGCACCCTCGAGCAGAACGTGAAGGACTTCGGCTTAACATACTTCGGAATGGATGACAAGCGCCAGGGCATTGTTCACATCATCGGACCCGAGCAGGGATTCACTTTGCCCGGAACGACGGTCGTCTGCGGTGACAGTCACACCTCAACACACGGTGCTTTCGGTTCCCTCGCTTTCGGTATCGGTACCAGTGAAGTCGAACATGTCCTCGCCACCCAGACCCTTATCACTCGTCGAAGCAAGAACATGCGCATCCAAGTTGATGGCGAGCTTCATCCCGGTGTTACCAGTAAGGACGTTGTCCTTCATATCATCGGTGTTATCGGAACTGCTGGAGGTACCGGTGCCGTCATTGAATTCTGTGGATCCGTCATCCGCGGATTGAGTATGGAGGCCCGTATGTCCGTGTGCAACATGTCTATCGAGGCCGGTGCGCGTGCTGGCATGATCGCACCTGACGAGATCACCTTTGAATACCTCAAAGGCCGCCCTCTCGCCCCCAAGTATGATAGTGCCGAATGGAAGAAGGCTGTCAACCACTGGACGAGCCTGGCCTCCGATGATGGAGCCGCTTACGACAAGACGGTTTTGCTGGACGCCAAAGACATCATCCCCACCATTTCCTGGGGAACTTCTCCTCAGGATGTCATTCCCATCAATGGCGTCGTCCCATCCCCCGACGATTTCGAGGATGAGAGTCGGAAACTTGCCTGCAAGCGCGCTTTGGAGTACATGGGCCTCACGTCTGGTGTGCCGATGAAGGAAATCCCTATTGACAAGGTCTTCATCGGTTCTTGCACGAACGCTCGTATCGAGGACTTGCGGGCAGCTTCTAAGGTCGTGAAGGGCAGAAAGATTGCCTCCAACGTCAAGCGTGCGATGGTTGTTCCCGGATCTGGTTTGGTTAAGCAGCAGGCGGAAGCCGAAGGCCTAGACAAGATTTTCGAAGAAGCCGGATTCGAGTGGAGAGAAGCCGGTTGTTCCATGTGTCTGGGTATGAACCCCGATATCCTGTCGCCCCAGGAACGTTGCGCCAGTACCTCCAACCGGAATTTCGAAGGACGTCAAGGTGCCGGTGGCCGTACCCACCTGATGTCTCCTGCCATGGCCGCGACGGCCGGTATCGTCGGCAAGCTTGCCGATGTCCGCGAGCACCTCGTTGCCAGCCCCGTTCTGGCCAAGGTGCAGCCGAAGGTTGACGTCCAGCCGGAGGCGGAGGAGCCGGAGACCGAGGACGAGCTCGACCGCATCCTGGATCTGCCTGCGGATAACGAGCCTCACACCAACACCTCCGGCGGTGGCGGCTCCCGCACCGGTCTCCCCAAGTTCACCACCCTCAAGGGCATTGCTGCCCCGTTGGACCGCTCCAACGTCGACACCGACGCCATCATCCCCAAGCAGTTCTTGAAGACCATCAAGCGAACCGGTCTCGGAAGCGCTCTCTTCTATGAACTCCGCTACAAGGACGGCCAGGAAAACCCCGAATTCATCCTCAACCAAGGCATCTACCGCAACTCCAAGATCCTGGTCGTCACCGGCCCCAACTTCGGCTGCGGTAGCTCCCGTGAGCACGCCCCCTGGGCCCTCCTCGACTTCGGCATCAAGTGCATCATCGCCCCCTCATTCGCCGACATCTTCTTCAACAACACCTTCAAGAATGGCATGCTCCCCGTCGTGATCTCCGACGAAGCCGCCCTGCAGAAAATCGCCGCCGAGGCCACCGCCGGCCGCGAGGTCGAGATCGACCTCGTCAACCAGCAAGTCAAGGACGCCCAGGGCAACTTGCTCGCCAGCTTCGACGTCGACGCCTTCCGCAAGCACTGCCTGGTCAACGGCCTGGATGACATTGGCCTGACTCTGCAGATGGAGGACAAGATCCGTACGTTCGAGGGCAAGCGCACTCTCGACACCCCTTGGCTCGACGGCAGCGGCTACCTCAAGCGTGGCAAGCGCGGAGGAGCCACCCGCATCGAGGCGGCGCCGGTCCCCAAGACTAACCGGGGCGACGTCAAGAACGAGCCTTTGGAGTGGTAGATTCTCTCTACGACATTCAGGATACGACGTTTATGCAGCTGCAGTGCTATTTTATTTACTATTTAGATTGGATTTTTATGAGCTTGGGATTGGCTTACTAAGGGAAACCCAGCTACCTTACATGTTGAGTTGGAAACGCATTGGGAATGTGTATGTTTTCGGGATCAAAAGATTTGTTTTGCTCTTAATTATAATGGATATCAATATTTATTTAGAACGTTTAAAAAGGAACAAAAGAACAAACAGATACCTAATATTGACCAACGATTCACTGTATTTGATGATATCGTAGTATGAACTATGACAACTACCTCAGAAATCATTAGGGATATGACTATTCAAGAAGTGGAGAAATGAGAAAAACACAGCAGCCCCCCAAAAGTCATGCATAAATGCAAAATATATCCAAAATTAATCAACCCAGAGCAAGTTCAATAAATATAGAAACGAAGAAGGGAAAAGACATTAAGTACAACATATTCCACCCATTATGTACCCCCATGATAGTAGGGAGGTTATAAAATCGAAAACAAAACAAAAAAACACACGCAAAATCAATTCAAATCAAAATCAGACAGACAATCAAGTCAGAACAGAACAATAAATCACAAATAAAAGGAACGTAACGACATCCGAATTCATAATCCAAGAAAGGAACAATTATATGTATATCCCATGAAAAAAAAAAAATGCACATCCATATCCGTGACCACATGAATATGTCATAAGCTGACTTCTTTTTTGCTTCGTTCATGAGGGCAATGAATCAAAATCACCACGAGAGAGGTATCGGACGTCAAAATGTCAATTAAATGTACAGAAACGCTTGCTTGGTTGACGGGGTTTGCTTTTTTGTATGTAGGTTTCAGATCGTGTTTGACCCGGGGGAATTTTGATCCCCGGTGGTTCCTTTTTGTAAGGACTTTCGCTAGTTTCAATTTGTATGTCATCGTGTGTAGGACTGGGGTTGTGAAAGTCCATTTAGGATGTTGATGACGGAGGATTAGGGCTTGGTCAGTTGTTCTTTCCGGAAGAACATCAGGAACCCGGCACTAAAAGGGACAAAGGTTAGACTTCACGTGTTTGTCTTGAGGAGAGAGGTGACTCAGGAACTTACCATATCAACAATTGGAAGAACAAGGCGATCCAGAACCATGCATTTGCAACAGCACTGGCACCAACCGTGACATCCGGCGAGATTGGTCCAGGACCAATCCGATTCGGACCGAATGCTCTCGCGCAGATGGTGGCGATGGAACCCAGCACCTGAGATGCAAGAAGGGTGAAGCAGATGTGCATCCGAGTCAAGGTCTGGAGCAGGATCATACCGAAGCCTAGACCCTGTAAGGCGTCGAGAATACCGAGCCAGAGCCAGAGACTTCGAGATACCAGTGCTCCACCAGCGGCACCTCCAGCAGACCAAGGAAGGAATGATCCCATGCCTGAGACACCCCACCAGATTTGGGCCCAGCGTGGTGCGCCGAGTCCGCATGCGAAGACAGGGAGGATCCAACTGTGGGTTTTTGATAGGCGGCCGAAGAGCAAGAGTACCAATGCCCAGACGGCGCCGAAGAAGACAGCGCACAGAATGCCGACTTGCCAGTCTTTGGCGTGCTTGGAGTCCCAGAGGACTGTGCAAAAGGGAAAAGTTAGATTTTCATGCATGAATCGACAGGGGTAGAGGAGGGGGGATAATGGTCTACTTACAGGCCCAGTTTCGACCGTAAGGAGCACTGAGGAAGAAGTTCTGCAAGATGACCACGATGAAGTTCCACAGCA